AGCCAGAGGAATTGTGACTAGGGCAACATAAACAGGAATACATTATTATTGCCATTTATATAGCACCAACAGATTCTGTAGCGCTTTACAATATTATGAGAGGGGGGATTTAACTTTAAATAGGACAATTACAGGAACGATAGGTTGAAGATGACCCTGCTCAAACAAGCTTACAGTCTATAGTCCTTTTGTATAAAACACAAAAGGACAGGAGGTTGCAATCAAATAAGCTGGGAGTGAAGCAGAGGTGGAGGAAAGAGTGGAGTGTTGCCCTTTAGGAGAGAGCAAGAGACAGGTATGTGAGGTAGGCAGGCTATTCCATAGGAAGGGAGCCGCACCCGAAAAGTCCTGCAAGCGTGAGTTGGCCATACGGGTGCTAACAGAGGACAGGAGAAGGTCACAGACAGAGCAGAGAGGTCAAGAAGGGACTTACCTATGGATCTGTGAGGAGATATGACGGGTTAGAATTGTTCAGTGCTTTATAGGTGTGAATTAGTACCTGGAATTAACTCTCATAGGATGCTGGAAGCCAATGTAGGAACTGACAGAGTTGTGAGAAAACTGACTAGAGAGGAAAATCAGTCTGGCGGCAGCATTCATTACAGACTGTTGTGGTGCAATGTGGCTTTTGGGAAGACCAATCAGGAGAGAGTTACAATAATCCATGTGGGAAATTACTAGAGCATGGACAAACTCCTTGGTAGCATCTTGCGTAAGAAAGGGGCAGATGCGGGCTATGTTTTTAAGATTGAATCTACAGGATTTGGCAACATATTGGATGTGAGGCGGCGGGTGGGGGACCTAATGTCCTCCACCCTGGCCCCCACCCCTGAGCTGCGGGTGGGGGCACTCAATACTAATAAGGGGGGACCTAAGGTCCTCCGCCCTGGCCCCCACCCCTGAGCGGTGGGTGGAGAAGTGCAGCCACCTCTTGATCAATAGCCACGGAAAAAGTCTGAAGGGTAGGAAAAGCATGATCTATGTGTGGTTGAGAAAGAGAACGGCAAGGAGGGGAGAATTCTTTCCTTGGCTGTTCAATCTTGTCGGTAAAGTAACATGCAAAGCTATCGGCAGTAAGGTTAGTTTGTGCGTGCCACAGCAGGGTGAAGAAGAGAATTAAAGGTGTCAAAGAGACAAATGAACTAATGAGAGAGAAAAAGTAGGACTGTTTGGCGAGGGCAAGGGCTGTGCTGTATGAACATGAATCTATAATGGAGAAAGTCTGACTGGATGCGAGACTTCCTCCAGGAGGATTCAGCACAATGGGAGCATCTTTGCAGGTGGTGTGTTGATTTAGTATGCCATGGTTGGGGGTGTGTCCTCCTCAAGGTGCATGTTTGGAGTGGGGCTGCAGCGTTCAAGGCAGAGGTGAGGGTAGTGTTATATGTGGAGATGGCCAGTGAGGGACAGGTGAGGGAAGGGATGGATAGCAGTTGTGAATCAATATTAGTTTACAGCTGCTGGAGGTCAAGAGAATTAAGGTTCCTCCTGAGTTGAGAGGGGTTAGGCTGAGATTGTTGCTTGAGGGGGTACTCGAGAGCAAATGATAAGAGGTGGTGATCAGAGAGAGGAAATGGAGGGTTGCAGATATTAGATACTGTACATGCATAAGAGAAAATGAGGTCAAGGGTATTGCCAGCTAAATGTTCTACTACATATTGCCTCTTATGTTTGGTTTCTATTAATTATTTTAAGAATGATAAAATAAGTAAAGAGTTGCTGTAATCATATCTAGTAGATGAAATAAACAAAAACGTGTTAATTCTTTTAAATGAAAAAATAAAATAAAATCATCTGGTTGGCTTTTGCTATGAAGATGTTTTTATTCAATTAATAGAATATCATGGTGAGTTAACCACCAAATTTAAAAAAATGAAGATTAGGGTAGAAATTACAACTTCATGTCCAATATTTATTAACATGTTAAACAGCTGCCAATAAGCCATTAATACGTTTAAAACAATCACAATCCTATGGTTTAGAAACTTATCACAATTGATTTTTAGAATGGGTGATAAAGGATTTTATACCATATGATAAGCAGTTAAATTACAGTGATAACAATCATACTCAAGAGGACCTTTGACACTTTAAGAGGCTCATTGGCCATTAAAGGACTTAAAAATGTTTTCACAGGGGCGTGACTGTGGCTGCACGAGCTCCTAGGCCCCAACCCACACAAGCCTTTAAAAATATAGAAAATTTTCTCCATATTTACCGTAATTTTCTTTTCTGGCTATAATTCATGGCAGCATCACTTACGGGTTACTATCAGACTGCTGCAAAATTAATTTATTCATGAGAGTTAACTGAGGACAAAACACCTCTCCCAAAGGATTAGGATGAAGAAACTACATCCAGCTTTTAATGTCTGATGAATGTCATGGGAGACGACCAGGTTGCTGCCCAACATATGTCGTCAGAAGAAACCTCTGCCCAAGTAGCCCAGGAGATAGCCAATGCTCTAGTTCAGGGGTTCTCAACATTAGTCCTCAGGACCCCCTACCAGTCCAGGGTTTAGGGATTACCTGGGTGTGTCTAAGTTGTTTAGAAAAAAAAAACACACCTTAGAGTCTAGGGTGTTTTTTCCCTTTTTCTAAACACCTGAGACACACCCAGGTAATCCCCAAATCCTGGACATGTAGGGGGGTCCTGAGGACTGGGTTGAGAACCCCTGCTCTAGTTGAATGGATCTTTATCTTTTCCAGAGGAGATAGATTATTGACGATAGGCCTTTTTTATGGTGTTTGAAACCCAACGCCTCAAAGTAGCGGTAGAAGCCGCCTCTCTCTTTTTGTAGCCAGAAGGAATAAGGAATAAATGCTGTGACTTTCTAAAATGATTAGTGACCTCCAGATACTTAATCACACATTCCTTCACATCTAATTGATGGAGCTTAATATCTTCCGTGGATGAAGGGTTTGGGTAAAAGGAAGGCAGAACAACTTCCTGTGCCAAGTGGAAACGTAAAACCACCTTAGGTAGGAATTCCATTCTAGGTCTTAAGATAATTTTATCATGGAAGACCTGTACGTGATTCAAATCACTGGAGAAGGCTTGAATTTCAGACATTCTTTTAGCGGTAGTGATTGCCACCAAGAACAAAGTCTTGTAAGTCAGATTATTAATACCCAACTCATCCAAAGGAGCAAAGGGTAGGAAAAGGGTAGTCTGACAGCACATCCAGTACCAAGGGAAGATCCCAAGAAGGAGCATAATTTCTGGAAGAAGGTATTATACGTATCACTGCCTTAAAGAACCTCGCTATTATTGGATCCGATGCCCAGGAGGTGTTACACAGAGCAGATAAGGCTGATGACTGAACTTTTAAAGTGCTTAAGCTTAAGCCCTTCTCCAGCCCTTCATGTAGAAATTCTAGAACATCACTATTCGAAGGATGGAGGAAGGTTTTGGAATTCTGTTCTGACCATGAGCGAAAAACATCCCATATTCTGTGATATCATGCGGAAGTGGAACTTTTACTGGATTTTAAAAAAGTATCCACCACAGATTCTGGTAATCTTTGCTCTAAGAGTCTCTGCTTCTAAAGAGCCAAACCCCCAGATTCAATTGGTTTGGATTGGGATGAATCGCTGGACCTTGGATCAACAAATCTGATCTCTGAGGAAGAGGCCATGGAGGACCTAGGCACATTCTGTTCAGGAGCGGAAACCAAGGCCTCCTCGGCCAAATGCTCCACCTGCCGAACCCTGAAGCTACCTGAGAGCCGGCGAAAATGCCCACACACAAGCTCCTGGGAAGCTCCTGGGAAGCACCTGGAAGCCTCTTTCAGTCCCTTTCGATACAGGAACATTAGGGTAAGATAAATAGAAAGAAACTTACTTAGACTTCTCTGAAATTTCTGCCACACTATCTGAGAGTTTTCTTGCACGTAAGGGGATTTTTTAAGGATATACCGACCCCACATCATATAAGTTTTTTTAAAACAGCCCCGTGATAATCCATTGTTGCAGTACATATACTAATATTTACCTAACTCAGTTAGTCCTGCTTTTGCAGGCTGATTACTGAGTTCTTCAGATAAAGAGAGGCTGAACTTTATCTGGCAGGAACCCATGGTACACATGGGAAGGTGAATCAAATTTTTTATTTTTTTATTGCATATAATTCCTGTTTGTCCTGTTTAAGGAGAGAAAATAAGACTGTGGGTTGGAGGGAGGAGGGACCTGGTTATAATTAATTAATTAATTGTTTCCTGTCCTGTTCCTGTTGGGGGCGGAGCTAACTCATATGTGATGCTACCATGAATGGCCAGGAAATAGCGTTTACCACCGCATTCATGGGAAAACTAAACGGGCAGCCACCCAATCTACCCGGTCCCATGGATGAGTACCTGGCCACACAGCAAGGCTGCCGAGGCTCAGACAAGATGGTGCCCTCCTCTCCCGGCTCAGACAGCATTGCGGGTTCTACGCAGGGATCCACACAGGGAGAGACACTCACGCAAATGTCTGCTGACCTGGCGGCAATATCCGCAAACATGCTTACCCGCAGGGACAAGACCGAAATGGTTGCTGAACTCCGCTCCATCATCTGTGAGGAAATCACAGCAGTGCGCAGAGACCTTTCAGCACTTGAACAGTGGGTTGATGACCTGGCGGAGGACCGCCTGCTAATGTACCAGCATCGGCAAGCCTCAGATCTGGCCACGTTGAGGCAAGGTAATATCATCCTTGACCTCCGCCGCCAAGTAGAGGATCTAGATAACAGAGGCAGACGCAATAATATACGTGTCAGGGGCCTGCCTGAGACAGAGGGGGAATCTTCCCGGGAGCTCTTATCGGGCCTGTTCACACACTTTGTAATCGCAGGTGGTTCCCTTATTTACCACTATAATGTCTTAAAGCATAGAACTTAGTAGGGCTAACCATACAGATATCTTAGCCATAATTTTATATAGTTAGTAAGAGATCCTCTATTTAACATATATAAATAATTGAGAATACAATATAAAATAAGGATTGTCTTGGAAGCAATAGTTTTGTCTTTTTGGATATTTATTATATAAAAATATAAATATAAAATCCATTATAGCAGAGTTTATAAGATTAAATTACATGCTTGCAAATATCATTAATAGGTTAACATACCCTTCTGAACATGTCATCATGTCAGCCTCTCTGTCATTTTAAGATGGAGCATCGTCTGTCTCCAAGTCTCTCCTCTGTGTCTTAACATTTAAAAGTACACCTATTTATACCTTAGGTGTCTCCATTTTAGGGTTGCCGTAGTTCATTTACTTTATTCATTTGAGGTCCTCCCTTAACTTGGCAAACATACAAGGCCATAACAGAAGGGTGCATACGTGATGGAAATTTTCCTGACTTAGTTCAAGATGGCATCTTAAAGTCTGAATAGGTTATCTGTTGTTTATACTAAGTCGTAAGTGTACAGTCGTGGGAGATTCCCGGATTTGGGGAAGTTCCATTAACTTGGGGTTACCACAGTATATTGTGTACTGAAAGAGTCGTAGTATAGCCTTGAAGCTTGTTTATAGATTATTGTTATTGTAATTCGTCTGGGACAACATGGCGCAAACATATTATGCACTGAGGTTATTGCTTAAAGAAACATCTATGAAACACAATATGTTCCATTTCTAACACCTTGTCAATTTAAAGACAAAGTACACAGCTTAAGAAAAACTTGTAATATTTGCATTTGCCCATAACAACTTACTTGGAGAGGAGGCCCCGCCAGAATTTGGCATTGAGCGAGCGCACAGGGCACTCAGAGCCCCCAGACGAGACGGCCATCCCAGGGACTTGATCTGCTGCCTGCTATCATTCCAGTTCAAGGAGACAATAATGAGGGTGGCTAGAACGCAGCGTAACTTACGGTACATGGATTCCCAGGTGTCACTTTATCAGGACTTATCAACCCTCACCCTGGATGCCCACCAAGCACTGAAGCTGCTCACCAGCCTGTTACAGGAAAGGAGGATACCATACAAATGGGGCTTCCCGTTCAGCTTACAGACCAAAGTCAATAACCAATGGCATATAGTCAGATGGCCTAATGATGTCCCCCACTTTTTACGGGCTGCAGGATTGCCGACCTTAACAATACCTAACTGGATCCTGGACTGCCCTCCAGCATATCCCTCAGGCCCTACCGTGGCCGCCAACAACATGACTGGGGACACCGCACCTAGGCCTCACCTACGCCAGGGCGGGACGAACGGCCCCGAAGAATAGGATGCTGGTCAACATCCTCCCGGTCACCGGGACCGACTCCTAGCTTCCTGCACATGTAGCTGCCACTCTTGGGACTCACCTCCTGCCTGGATCCGTACAGGTGCCCCAATTACCCTGGTTGAGTATGTACTGTGCACCCCTGCTCCCCTCCGCTATCCCCCTGGCCCGGCCTGAATATGTTCTAAAGGGATCCCTTGTTTGAGTGGGATGTGGGACAGGTGGGCTGGGACCAGTGGCACTACTTTGGGCCGGCAGGAGCTCCCCTCTTCCCACTCTGGGTACAGTGGAGCATTCTGGATTTGGGCGGGTGGAAGGCCTCTGGCTACAGACATGAGGGGTGCGCTGTAAGCTCAGCTATCCACTGCCACATCCGACACCCTGGTCACGGCTCAGCCATTGGGGACCGCTACAGGCCACGCGTTAGGAGATCCTTGTCCATGAGAGCTGGGGACGGGAAGTTGTGGTAGCTCGTTGCTGCAGTGGGGGAGGCCGAGCTCCTGCAACGCCCGGGTCCTTACCGCCTCTCTAAAGCACAAAAACAGGCCGACAGCCTCTCACTAACATATAGGGTACAACCCCCTCAATGCAGCAGTGCCACCGACCCTTGCCATGAGACACCCCAGTATGACACTGATAACCACACCCCCCATACAACCCAAGGACGCAAACCCCAAAGCACCCTACCGCGGGTTGAGTGCAGACAGAGCCGCGGACATGGACACACTATATATGTTATTCGGAGTTCCGAGTGGTGGTCCGGTTACCACCCCCCCCAATGACACCAACCGATTGTCTGGCTTGTGCGGCATGTCGGTGAACGCCGGCCACTGCGGACCCACGCAATTATATATCCACACATCCGTCCACAGTAAAGACTACGTTGACGTGCGGGTGACCTCACGCAAAAGACACACACGCACGTTTTGGGATCAAGGGCTAGGTACAGCTGATCGGATCTGCAAGAGGGTTATTTAAACTCACTTATTCCTTAGCTCATTGCCCTGTCGTGGTTTCCCTTAGACGGTTATCCGAGAGTGTGTTCCTGATCATGTTTTTCTGTTTTTTGACTTTGGATTCGTTTTGACTTCCCTGATTTCTGGTACCCTTGACTTTTGGCTTTTCCTTGTCGCTGTGCCTCGTTCTGTGTCCCTGACCTCTGCTAGTTTTCTGACTAATCTCGGGTACGTTAAGTCCAGCCATTCTAAGGCCCGGTAAGAAATTACCCTTAGTTCTAGGGTGTGAATCTATTCTGTGTGCTGGATCAATAAAATCCTGACACCTGACACTCCCATACCCACCCGCCCTTCTCTCCACCACCCCTCTCCATGCCTCCCTCTACCACTCCTCTTCATTGATGCCCAGTCCCCCATTATTACCACTGCTACGACTATCACTCTTATTTGGTACAAGTACTAAACTTGCTCACATCTACCGAACTGACTTGGGCCAAGATAAAGCAGATATTCCCCATACAAGGGTATATGACAACACGGCTGTAAGTCAAAAAACGACAAAGGATGGCATTAGCATTCCCTAATTTAACAGTTCTAAGTCCCTTTGTGACACATCACCAGACATCCCACACCTCACCTAAACTATGTGCCATGTCCAGTACACACTTGCTTGGTGTTCCTTAATGCCCACTTTTAGCCTCAAAGTACCTGAAAGCTCGCATTTTATAAACACTAAGAGATATCTCCTATCATCTATGTTCATCGGTTATTCTCTGAACGCGCTCCACCACTCCACCACAGCGCATGTAGCCTGCATGTTTCGGAATGTTTAAGCACTGTTTAAAGGACCACTACAGGGAGTGCAGAATTATTAGGCAAATGAGTATTTTGACCACATCATCCTCTTTATGCATGTTGTCTTACTCCAAGCTGTATAGGCTCGAAAGCCTACCAATTAAGCATATTAGGTGATGTGCATCTCTGTAATGAGAAGGGGTGTGGTCTAATGACATCAACACCCTATATCAGGTGTGCATAATTATTAGGCAACTTCCTTTCCTTTGGCAAAATGGGTCAAAAGAAGGACTTGACAGGCTCAGAAAAGTCAAAAATAGTGAGATATCTTGCAGAGGGATGCAGCACTCTTAAAATTGCAAAGCTTCTGAAGCGTGATCATCGAACAATCAAGCGTTTCATTCAAATAGTCAACAGGGTCGCAAGAAGCGTGTGGAAAAACCAAGGCGCAAAATAACTGCCCATGAACTGAGAAAAGTCAAGCGTGCAGCTGCCACGATGCCACTTGCCACCAGTTTGGCCATATTTCAGAGCTGCAACATCACTGGAGTGCCCAAAAGCACAAGGTGTGCAATACTCAGAGACATGGCCAAGGTAAGAAAGGCTGAAAGACGACCACCACTGAACAAGACACACAAGCTGAAACGTCAAGACTGGGCCAAGAAATATCTCAAGACTGATTTTTCTAAGGTTTTATGGACTGATGAAATGAGAGTGAGTCTTGATGGGCCAGATGGATGGGCCCGTGGCTGGATTGGTAAAGGGCAGAGAGCTCCAGTCCGACTCAGACGCCAGCAAGGTGGAGGTGGAGTACTGGTTTGGGCTGGTATCATCAAAGATGAGCTTGTGGGGCCTTTTCGGGTTGAGGATGGAGTCAAGCTCAACTCCCAGTCCTACTGCCAGTTCCTGGAAGACACCTTCTTCAAGCAGTGGTACAGGAAGAAGTCTGCATCCTTCAAGAAAAACATGATTTTCATGCAGGACAATGCTCCATCACACGCGTCCAAGTACTCCACAGCGTGGCTGGCAAGAAAGGGTATAAAAGAAGAAAATCTAATGACATGGCCTCCTTGTTCACCTGATCTGAACCCCATTGAGAACCTGTGGTCCATCATCAAATGTGAGATTTACAAGGAGGGAAAACAGTACACCTCTCTGAACAGTGTCTGGGAGGCTGTGGTTGCTGCTGCACGCAATGTTGATGGTGAACAGATCAAAACACTGACAGAATCCATGGATGGCAGGCTTTTGAGTGTCCTTGCAAAGAAAGGTGGCTATATTGGTCACTGATTTGTTTTGTTTTGTTTTTGAATGTCAGAAATGTATATTTGTGAATGTTGAGATGTTATATTGGTTTCACTGGTAATAATAAATAATTGAAATGGGTATATATTTGTTTTTTGTTAAGTTGCCTAATAATTATGCACAGTAATAGTCACCTGCACACACAGATATCCCCCTAACATAGCTAAAACTAAAAACAAACTAAAACTACTTCCAAAAATATTCAGCTTTGATATTAATGAGTTTTTTGGGTTAATTGAGAACATGGTTGTTGTTCAATAATAAAATTAATCCTCAAAAACACAACTTGCCTAATAATTCTGCACTCCCTGTATAGTGCCAGGAAAACACACTTGTTTGGCCGGGCTGAAGTTGGAGGAAGGGGTTAAACACTTACCTTTCTCCAGCGCCGGGCTCCCTCTGGGCTAGGGACTTTCCTCCTCCTTTGGCCGTCATCAGCTGAATGTGCATGCGCGGCAATGCTTTCCTATGGACGCTGGCGTCTTCTCACTGTGAAAATCACAGTGAGAAGCGCGGAAGCGCCTCTAGCGACTGTCAATGAGACAGCCATTAGAGGCTGGATTAACCCATATATAAACATAGCAGTTTCTCTGAAACTGCTATGTTTACAGCAGGCAGGGTTAACCCTAGAGGGACCTGGCACCCAGACCACTTCATTGAGCTGATTCCAAACCAAGGATACTCACACATCTACCATGTCACAGTTTAGAGTGAAGGGGGTTTGTATTCGCTCCCTAGGCTTAATGCTAGACAACCACCCCATGCGGATTACCAAACCTACACACCTGTTTAGCTTGTTCATTTTTCCTTCACAAAATGTGACAGTCCGCTTGAATGATAATATGCCATCTATTATACTGAAAATTGTATACTTGCAATAACTCCTTTTTCCTTTCTGAATTGAACTGCACAAAATTCAGTAAAATAATG